CTGCAACAGAGATCAACAAAGGTATAGCAATGCATTTGCAAGGAAATGTGTGTGCAACTACTCTCCTTATCATTTCTCAAGCTCAAAGGAGCATAGTACTCGGCTCCCAAGCCACCAATCACGTATCTCAATGCATGATGGCCAAATAGCCAAGCTTGCGCAATGTTATTGAATGAACAAACAAGACTCGAAGTGTCGTCACCCTATCATGCATGATCAAGGGTGACAATGACCAAAAAACGCAACACGTTTCATCACTTTGAGTATAAAACGTGCCACATTCCTTGTGTTCGGATTAACGTCCGATCCAAACACAAGGCAATGCAAACAACATGCTTATCTTTCCATGCTAAAGTGGCATACACAAGACTCTAAGACCACGGCCTTATCATGAGTGATCAAAGGCAATGGAGACAAAGGGGATTGGCTCACTTTCATTACTTTGAGTATGGAGTGGACCAATCCATTTTGTGTTCAACATAACGTCCGGTTGAACACGATGCAATGCAAACAACATATGTAATGCATGCTCAAATGCCAAATACGTTAAGTCAAGCTAGTAAAGAGCATCACTTAGAAGGCATGTATTGTCAATCTCAAATAACTAAACCAGCCATGGATAGGGCTAAACCATGCCAAATAATAGTCCAAACATGCTGAGGTAGAAGCTCAAAGGCCTAGAGAACATACACACATGCTAGCCCCTAAGCAAAGCATAATACACAACCCTCAAAAGCAATGAAGAAGTGAAGTATATGAGAGCATGACTACACTATATGCACTAAAATTACATACTAAATGGTGCCATACCATGCAAACATCACATGCATATCATGTTGAAGGCTTCAAAATCCAAAGCTAGCCAAGGCCCTTTACATTACAACCATACTAAGCAACGCTCAAATGACCTTAACCATTCAAAACAGACCTAAGGCAGGTCAAAATAGTAGCAAAAACATGCTAGACTCGCAGCATGGATGGCAAGAACAGTATGCTCATGTGTTAGCTCACAAACAAGGCATAAAGGCACAACTCTTATACACAATGAAAGAGCGATAAATATGAGAGTACGACAGGAGTTTATGCTCTGAAATTACATGAGAAGTGATGCCATATCATGCACATATCATAAATAAGGCATGCTAAGGGTCTCAAAACTCAAGACTAGTGAAGCCAACTATGCCATAACTATACAAAGCAAGCCCCAAGAGGCCAAGACCACTCAAAACAGTCCTAAAGCATGCTAAAACAATGCCAAAAACATGATGGAGTGGAGCCAAAGCAAGCTAGAATGGTAAGCCAAATCACCAAGTATGCTAGGCTAGTGAGCAAGAATGCACTACAAGTGCAAAAACCAAGCAAGAGGTGACCTCACCAACCAAAATCAGAACTAAAGCATGCTAAAACTAGAGTAAAAGCATGTGAGAGCATTACCAAAATAAGCTAGAATGATGAGCCAAAGTAGCAAGCATGCAAGGCTAAATAGCAAGATTACACTACAAATGTAAGAAACATGCATGATGTGACTCAACCAAGCCAAAACAGAGTTATGCCATGCTGAAATAAGGCCAAAAATAAGTTGAGAACAAGCCAACACATGCTAGAAAAACATGCTCAATAATTAGGCCAACAAGACAAGCAAGCAAGATAAGAGGAGAGGGGACCACCCTCTCCTATTTGGGGTCTCAAAACCACCTTTCCACCATTGAAATTCCTCTGGAATTCAGTGGTTAAAAGGCCAAAAAGAGATTATCTCAAAGGCCTTAAGAGATAGCACAAAGCAAAGCAAAATAAGTTATAAAAGGGGGTAGACTACCCCTAACTCAAACAAGGCTTTAAACCACCATTTTTAACACTCAAAAACAAGGGTTTTTGTAGTTAACAACCAAGCGTAACAGAGCATGTAAAGGTGGCTAAGAGAGTATACAAAAACAAGTTTAAAAGGGGAAAAGGCTTACCCTTGACGCACAGCAACAAAACCAGCAACTTCTGAGCCAAAACCAACTTTTGAAGCTCCCACAAGACCCTCAAGCACCTCAACAACAAGGTAGGAGTGTTTGGCTAAGAGGTTGTGTGCAAAAATATGAAGAAAACTCACTTTCAAGCACTATAGAACATAATATAGAGAGAGGGAGAGAATTCTAGAGAGTCAAAATTTGCTTCTCAAAATTCTGAATCCCCCCTAAAGGGGAAGGGAGCTCCCCTTATATAAGCAATGCAAGCAAAAGCTTGCTTGACAAAGCTTGAAACTTGCCTCCATCCCTCCATACGGAGGATGATTCAGTGAGCCACAACTGGCCCAAAAGATCTGAAAATATCTAAAAAAGAGAAAAAGTGGTTGCCGGCCAGTTGAGGTGGCCGGCCAGCCACTTGAAGTGGCCTACGAGAGGGAAAAGTGGCCGGCAAGGCCCTCTTCTCCTCAAGGCAAGAGGCAACAAGGTTTGGCCCAAAAACCAAGGCCAAAACACAAAGGGTTAAGTGGCTCAAAGACAAGGGGCACCCAGCTGAGACTTTCGGGCGCTCAAAACAAGCACCAACATGTGCAATCATCGCGTGCACAAATGATGACATCGGAGTCTTAAGGTCGGTCAAAAATGGGATGTCTACACACACCCTGTGTCATCATATGGAATATCATAGTTGGTTGAGTGGTTAAGATTCTTAACTGCCCCAGATGGGAGGTGAAACAGTTTTGCTAGTCAGCTTGCACTCGTACAGGAACAGTAGGTAATTTAAGAAAATATGCTCCAAACTCAATGGTCACTGTGGAGGGTCTACATCCATACATATTTTTCCAGTTTGGAAAATGAATATTCTACAATTTTGAGATAAGAAAATACCATCACTTCATCCTCATCACAAATAAGTTGTTATATACTGATTTGTGTCAAAGATCAAATATATTGTGGGACACGTGTGACAAACCAGTCTTAATTGGTTTGCAAGAAGGTGGTGGACACACGTAGCACATGTTTTGCATTTGTAATGCTTTGCATAGCTGAATCTCCAATATTTGAAAATGTTTGAAACTGGTCCTTTCATAGTTCTTTGTACTTATCAATAACCTCGTGTTTCTATATTCATACTTGTCAAAGAATATTCTTCAACTGGTGTACAAGGTTCAGAATTTCGGGGACAACTGGAAGGACTGGTGGTGTCTTTGATGCTCATATACTGTCTTCTTCATTGCACTTAAATAGAAGACCTGTTTCATTGAAACTTAAAAAACTGCTTTATTGATTTCAGTTCAGACAAATTTGGTGAGATGATGATCACAAGCTGAATCCACCAGTCAGAAAAACTTTGTAAACTGATGTCTAGGGGCAGTGGTAATATGTGGAAGCTATTGTGGAGCGGACGCCAGGGTTCAAATCCCGTTGACTATCCAAAAAGAGATAACTTCAGTAACGTGTTCCTGGAACGTAGGCACATATTTAAGGTGGACCATACTAGGATGGTAGAGCCGTTTGGAGTTTTTATGTTGGACTGCTGGTTTGCCAAAACAAATTGTCAATAGAATTGGAGAGGAAGCAATGCCACAGTAATGCTCCAGAGGGAAAACCAACGGGGAGGGTAAACCCAAAATTTGGAACATCTTTCAAAGTTCTATATTAAGTTTTCTACTCATTAGTGATTCAGCATGGTAACCTTGCACATTATTAACTGCATGCTCTCAACGCTCATAAATATTGGTTGTGATGGCTTTTGTTCTAAAAGTTGTGGCCTACTTGGGGTTTGTTGAGTGGGATCCTATCTTTCCTTTCAGGTCTATTGTGTGGTAATCAAAGTGTGAAGTTCTTTTTTCTTGTCCTTTGTTATCCAGTAGTCCGTTGTTTTTGTGGTGCCTTAAACATGGTGTTTACATTTTCTACATTCATGTTTCGCTTCTTCCCTTTGCTGGATATCTTTTCCCTCTCACCCCACCTTGGGATCTATCACTAATATATCTCCCGTCACTATTCTTCTTCCTCATTTATATCTGCTGCAATATTGTAGATCTCTCATTCAAATATCTCGCAATCTTTTAAAGGACAAACATTGATTCATGGGTCTTCTAGCATGAGGAATGAGACTTTGGTGAAGTAATGAGTGCAAGAATTTTTTGGGGCGTTAATGATACCCTCTGGTTGTGACCAGCTAGGGATAATGATGAGGTTTATTTAGCAAGGTTCAGGTGACTGTTAAGCTAGGGGAGAGTTTGGGAAAAACACAGCCCAATTTGGGATTGATTTGGTATCAGTTTCACTTTCAGTTTCCTGCCAAAAGCCTGTCCCAATATTTTAACTTTTATCCTTGGCTGCCTAATTTGGATAGTTAAGGGATTAGAGGTGGTTTTTGATCCAATTCCTACGCTGCTTGCATCTGTCTAGCAGGTGAGTCGCCTTGCTAATCACTATTAGATTCCTTAGCTAGATTTCTGGACTCTGTAATCTCTCATGGCGGTTTTCATTGGCAAAAGGGGTAATTGCCAATTGAGGAGAAAGCTGCCCTTAACCATGATCGACATTAGAATATCATCAATCATCATGAACTCTTTACTTTGCATGATTGAAGACTCATCTGTGATCATGGTTGACAGCATTTTTTCAATTTTTATTTTTGGAAATTTGCCGTAAATCCAATTGTTTGGTATATTCAATGGAAGAGGAAAGAAGGAAAAAAAATTAAGCATCATTCTGTCCAAGCTGAACCATCTCTACCTTGTTGGGTTTTCTATAATCAGTCGGCATCAAGATGGGGCTGTGCTGTTTCGTTCTTACACATTTACCGTCTCTACTAGCCAATGCATGGAATGATGGGTGAATGAGATTGTGAGATCTAATAAACAGTACGTTCAACATTATTTTATTATCCTTAAGAACATGTGCAAGTTTCTATCCAACTTATGCAACAGATAGTATTAAATTGACTTGCAGTGTCCTATTATTTGATGTAGAATGCAGTTGAAAAGTGTTCTCTATTTCTAATGAGGCATCTAGGATCTGGTTTATTTTCTACAGGTTACTCATAGGGGTGACCATTGGTTTTGGCCTAATAACCTTGAAGTTATGGGTTCAAGTCTTGGGACCTCACTTTGTTCTTATGCCAAAAGTTAAGTCTCAATCTTTCCCCTCTCAGACACACATTAATGTGTACATAATGGGTGTTGTTTTTTTTTTTTTTTTTGACACTCATAGTTGCAACCATCCATTTTCCATTTTTTTTAGTTTTTATTTGTAGCCTGGAGAATTCAGTTGAAATTTATTCTTGGTTTATGAGACAGGTTAAGTAGCATTGAAGAGCTAGCCAGGGCTACAATCAAGAAGTTAACTCAGCGTATGACTGAGCACAACAAAGCAATGGCTTCTGCTAAATCTGATGAAGCAAAGGCTAGCGTTGTGAGTTTATCTTGGAGAGCTTTCTTTAATCTTCTGTCAATCTTTGGGTTTTACGTTGAATTTAACTGACACAGATGATTTGCATAATTTGCAGAAAGCTCAAAAGCAGAATACTACCACTGGACTGCAAACCTGCAATAATATTTTGGCAATGACACAGGTCTGAAATTGATTAGTATTATTATTATTTTTGTTTGTAAATACTTGTTCATAGAACAGAATGGCTATAAGGATTCATGTAGTCAACCTCACACCAACCCTACTTAAGTGGGACAAAATGCTTGGTATGTAAATACTAGTTCATGCACTCAGGACTGAATTTTCTTACATTGTTTGATAACTCAGCTGCATGCAAAATCACCTTCATTCATTGGCGATAAGAGAATCAACCTTTCCTGGAAAGAAGTAGCAAAAGCTTCGGCACCTTACCGGTGCTGGGTATGTTGAAAACCTCTTATTCTTCTCATGCAAAACTCCCCTTTTTGTTGATATGTGAGTTTTGCATGACACTTGTATATGCTGCAAGGATTTCAGGTAATTCTGGAGCGTGTTGGGAATGGGGATCCATCTTTTATTGGAGTAACCGTAGCTTGCACCCTATAATCTTATAACTTGCATTTTCTCCCTTGTAAAATTAACAGTTTTTGCTTTAGACCTTATAATTTTGTAAAAGTTGCACTTTGCACTTTTCATTTAAAATATATATATATGTATATATATTGGGGAATATAGTAAAAACTAAGCGTGCAAAGTGCAACTTCTATAAAAATAAAAATAAAAATAAAAAACTATAGGATGCAAAGTACATTTATTTATTTATTTTTTAATGTAGTTGTTGGATTGTTGTATGAAATTACAATGAGGCCAAATGAATTACAATCATAATCAAGATCGAATACAGCACATAATTAATACAAACAAAACTCTCAAAAGTGGGAGAGGGACATCCCAAACAAATGTACGGGGAATAAGACCCACACGTAGGTGGAAAGTTTTGAATCACTGACCTCCTAGTGAGGTGTGAGGGTGCACCATTTTATTTTATAGGGTGAAGAGTGCAACTTTTAATTTTACGAGGGGCATGGAGAAACTTTCACAAAAACTTATAGGCGATAGCAAAGTGTCATTAGCCCTTACTTTTATTTGAGTTTTATAGTTGTATCGGCTTTCTTTTTGTCATTTTATTATTGTTATTATTCTTATTTATTGATTTTTCTGCAGAGGGAAACGTCTTGCAAGTGCCACTAATGTCATGAACAACAATGCATCAAAAAAAAGTTGTGGTGGTGGTGGTGGTGGTGGTGGTGGTGGTTTACCGAACCAACTTGTTAACAGGGCATTTCAAGGTCTATCGCATGGATGAGGAAGAAGTGGTGCGAGGGGTAGAGGCAGGGGCTGGGGTGGACGTGGGAGAGGAACGAGCTACCAGTAAGCTTTGGTTATGTGATGATCAGTGCGTATTTTGCCTTGTTCTACTGGGTTATGTTGGATTTATCTTCGTTGAAATGTTGAATTCCAAAGTGTGGTTCAGTCAACAGTTGAGTTCGTTGTTTTTGAAAATTTTTCTTTAAAAATTTTCGTCCTTGTTTGTTTCAAATTTCGAGTTTTCACTTGTCCCAGAGGGTGCGAGGTCAACTCTGGAGTGTCGGGAGAGAAGCCGAGGTTTTTTTGGGGCTAGAAGGCCAGAGCTGCACGTGCGGGGCCTTGGGCCGCAAGTGTGGGAGAGGGATCGCATGTGCGGGGAGTGAGGCCGCACGTGCGGGAAGCAGGGGAAGGCTGTGTGCACAGTGCAATATATGTAGGTGCGGAGAGAAGGTGCGAGGGAGGACCCACACATGCGGGGGTGAGAGCCGCACGTATGGGAGGATGTTCCGCACGTGTGGGAGAAGGCGCTGCACGTGCGGCCAGGCGCGTGATTTGTCTTGTTTTTGTGCTTTTCAGCTATGTATAGCTCTTTTTGTCCCCTTTTCATCCATATATGAATGTACCTCTCTCTCTCTCTCTCTCTCTCTCTCTCTCTACAATCTCTTTTTCTCTCATCTCTCTTTATTCATACCCTTAAAAGCATTGTATTTTCTTTTGATCCGAAGAATCCATTGAGATTTTGGTGCTAGTCCCTTATACCAAAATGATGAGCATATCGATGTCTTCGTCTTGACCGGTGGAGATCGAATTCTGGCAAAGTTGATTTTTGGGCTTTTCTCCTCTTCTCTCTTGGGGTAGGGATTTCTTTCATCTTTTTCAATACCTCTTTTATAGATAGACATGTATGTTTTTATTGCATAAAAACCATGTTGTTATGGATTTTTCTTTGAAAATCATGATAGGGGATCTAAGGTTTGATGTTGAGGTTGAGATTTTGTGAAATAAATTGTTGTTGGGTTAATTTGGGGAGTGATTTAACATGTTCATGTTTAGTGAGAGGTGAAGACCTAATTTTCTTTTTATATAATACCTGATAAATAAAAAGGGTTGAAATTGTGAAATAATCATGTTATGAATTGAGGAATTTAATAATGAGTTGGTAATTGATTTGAAATTAAATTGGATCTTATGATCTTGGTATTTACCTTGTGTTGGGTTAATTATATTTGAATATAACGAATGGATAATTTGTTTAGTGTTAATGAGGAGTTAATCATGAGATTAGGAATTTTGGGCAACACCCTTGTTGAGTTGAAATTGAGCGGATTATGGCTTTGTTATCTATGGGTTGAGTTTTTAGTTAAATGAATGAAATGAGTCTCTTTTATTGTATATATACATGTATATTAAATTGGTGTATTGCGAATTGAAAATTTTGGAAATTGACTTGGAAAGATAGAGGTGATTGTAACTCTTTTGCAAATTAAGAAAGAACCTTGGTAAAAGTTGAAAACCTTGGAACATCATTGTTGTTGTTGGACCTAATGCCTCATAAGAATTGGATGATTGTATTTTATGCATTTAATTCATATTGCTTAGAGGTTTTGTCCTTGGTTATAGGTGGAGGATGACATTATGAATATTGACATTATGAATATTGAAATGGTTATGTGTCTGTAGTACACTCGAGTATTTTATGATTGTTATATAATGTGATGGTTGGAAAAATGTGTAATGCGCTGAGAATGAGAGGGTACCATTACCTTTCAGCTAGTGCCTGGAGAATTGGCTACGCTGAGAATGAGAGGTACCATTACCTTCCAGCTAACGCCCGGAGAATTGGCAGATGTACCATTACCGTCCAGTCGGTGTCTGGTAAATTGGCATTTCATTGTGGAGAGATGTATCATTGAATTACCACGCTTTAGGCAAGTAGAGCAGAGCTTATTTATTATTGTTGTGTCAGTTTGACTGTGAGTCATGTATTATGATCATGTTTCAGTAAGGTTGAGTTGTCTTATATGTTGAGTAAATGTGTATATGTATATTTGGACGTGTTAGAGAATGGTTGAAGGAGTTTCCTACCATAAATTAGTTATTGAAAGTATCTCTTTAGCCTTGAGCTTAAGGTCGAAAATGTGATGAACGTGTGGAGACGGACTTTGGTTATGTATTGGGTTATAAATAATGTGAAGAAAATTGGGTTTTGTGAATGTGTTTAAAACGGATGTTATGTGGTATTTTGCTAAAAATGAAAAAAATGCGGTTGTCGTGTGATATTTGTTAAAATGGAAAATGAGAGGTAAAAGCGGACCTTTGTGTTGAATAAACTGGATGATTTTGAGAAAAGTATTTATGTAAGTATACTTTAGTTATAAATTGTTACATTGTTATATAATATGAGACTAAGTATTCATGATCATAGCTATCTATAGATTATTGTTGAGGATCATGTTGAGATTCCTACTGGACTATATGTTCATCCCATGTTGCTAATCTTTACAGGTGAACATGGAGAAATGTTTTAAGGCCATGGATCTTCCTTATCTGTTGGCCATGGGGCCTTATATTTGTGGGCGGAATGCCATTGATATAAAAGGGTTAAGTCATTTCTTTGCCTTCTAAGATGTAAGCCTTCGGGCAATTTATTTGGATGTATTCCTATTGCATTCATTTTGTATTCGAATGAGAGAATCATTATTTATGTATTCCTTGTAAATATAACGAGTTTCTGTATGCTATCTCTAAAATTGAATTTATAATAATGGTTTTGGTAATGGAATTCGAGTAATAAAAAGTAGGGCGTGATAAGTTAAAATCCACGGTAACACAAGGTTGAATTTTGTACCAAGTTATTATTAACCAGATGAATACGAGCATAGAATCATGGAATGTTTTATTATTATATCTTATTTACTGTAACAAATTTTGAAAATTGTAGCAGATGAGGTTTGGATTATGGACCGGCACTAATTCTTCTCTCTGGAGCTTCATCTGATTGTTCTGTTGCCTTAAGGTTTGATGCAGAGTGATTTTTCAATTCGATTTGGTGAATTGAAGCAATTCTGTTGGAAGTTTACTCTTAAGAAAGAAGGAAAAGTTCTAAACTTTATATATTTAATTTATTTTTATTATTTTTATTTTTATTTTTTTTGGGGGGAGCAAAATTCTCAGGTTGGTATTGCATTATAAAAAGATGGGGGTGTCGTTACAAAATTTTATAAAATAAATCATAAAATGATTTAATTTTTTATCAAAAAGAAATATTTAACTTTTTATTCATCACAAAAATTACAACTTGAATAACTTTAATATTGTCTTGTAAACTGTAACTTTAGTTCGGAGAATAAAGTGCTTTACCCAAAAAAATAAATAAATAAAAAAAAATAAACACTAAAATTTGGTTTAGCCCTAGCTGGTAATTCCTTGAAAAGAAAATTTGTGTGGGTTCATTGTATCAATGTTGATTGAATAATGTTATATGTATCAATTTGTACATTAATTATTATACCAATTGATGATGTGACATAATTTAAGAGGTTTTTGGTATTTGTAATGTGATTAATGAGTAGGGTCAATAATAATGTTATAGTTAGTGTTGATACATTAATTAGCATACTAATTGGTGTATGTAATATCACAGATGCTGATTTTTCATTTATTGATATTACTCCTGTTCACAGTAATGGTGTGCATTGGAGTTGTTCATAATGACTTTCTCTGAAAAATAAGGTAATTATCGTTAGTGTTATAATTTTGACATAATTACACCCTCAATAAATTTTCAATAAATTTTGATCATAGTCATTTGCTAGTCAAACTGATGAAAAATGATAATGCTATCAGTTATATGCTTATTTAACTCTTTATCATTCTTTGTGTTCAAACATTGTATGCATCCCAGCACTCATTATATGCTTATTTAACTCTTTATCATTCTTTGTCTAAATAATACACACCGGCAATGGGATGAGAGTAATTAAGTCATTGATTAGGTAAATGGAGTGTAATTATGTAATTTTACATCAATACATATTTAAATACAAAAAATATTTAAGGGGTAATATAATAATTTTATTAGTCCCGTTAAAACCGTTAAATGTTATTGTTACAGTAAGAATGGCCATATAATTTTCTCAAAACTGTGAATCATAATTTTTTCATTACTCAAGAAATCTCATTGTACTTCACTCAATTTTTGAAAATCACAAGCAATAACTACAAACCATATCTCTAAAACATTTGTTAGTATGACAAAAATCTTAATACTACAATGTATATGAAACAATTGATCCTTAATTCTATAATTTCACAATCTTCAAATTTTCTTACCGACACATAAGATCATCTTGTTCTTACAGGAATTTCAATTTCAAGTGATCATGAGATCTCAGAGTTTTCTAGAATTTCCGAGTGACTCACCAACTCCCACTTCCTAGAGCTCCACACATCCCGTGTGCCATCAATGGTTGGAGCACTCCTTGGAGTTCTAGTCCTCCATTATGGAAGTACCGCGCAAAGCTAAACATCTTTCTCCACAAACTCCTAATGCTCGGAGTAGTAGTTTTGCCTTGGCTTTCTTGAACTTGATTTCGATAATTCTTTAGTATGTGAATTAGGAAAAACATAAAACATATGGTGGAAGTGATGCCGGAGATGAGGTATAGACCCCAGAAGTTTTGGAGGTTCAAGCTATCTACTTTTGTGGCAGAATCAACATTTGAACAATTATTGGACACCTTAAACCACTTTTCTCATATTTTTTTTAGATTGCCATTCTCTGATATGATTAGAATGGCTTTGGACACATCAATGGCTATAGGAGAGCCTTTTTGGAATGCTTGTATGAATTCCAAGGATCAAAATTCTGATTCAATATGTTGTTTTTGAAAGCAAAGAAAGAGAAATATTTAAAAAATGTTTTAGCCATTTGGGTGGAAATAAATTGAATTTTTGTTCTTTGGTCATTGCAATAGTATTCTCTCTCAAATCAAAGAAACTCTACATAGGCATCATAGCGGCGTCAGGATCTTCTAGAGTGAAATCTCTGAAGCGATTTCCTAGAGTGATTTATCCAACAGCTGAAATTAAACCTCACCAAAATGTTTTGGTGAGTAATTTGAAAAAAAAAAATGAAAAAAACATTCTGGGTATGTTTGGTTTGCATTTGGGAGATGAGTTTCAGAAAAAAATTTCTAAAAAATTGTTTGGTTTGAGTTTTTCTCAAAAAATTTCCAAAATCACTTTCTCTCTCTTACATATCAATCAATCACTTTTTCTCTCTCCTCTCTCATTCTCAATCACTTTTTCTCTCACACACATCTACTCAAATTCTCCGAAAATATCAAATCATCCCAAACTCACAAAAAAATAACTCTTCCAAAATATACAACCAAAAAACCAAAAAAATTTCTAAACTCTCTCCTCAATTTTTTTTTCAAAAACAACTCTCCTAAAAACAAACCAAACAAGCCCTCTATTTCTTCGTTCCTGTGACTCTGAAGCAGCATTAGAGAGAGAGAGAGAGAGAGAGAGAGAGAGAGAGAAGGGCTGAGAGAATGAGAGAAGAGGAGGATCCACATCGCCACCTCGCCTTGGCCCTAATGCACTGCCGCCGCCGACACCCCACCCACCATACTCCAAAACTGAACTCATTCCACCATTACAAAACTCTACAACATTCAAAATCAAACCAATGAGATAAACAAACCCAGCACAAACCCACTTGGGTACTATTGTGTTTTTTGTTTTCACCAATCCAGAGTTAAAATTCAACCTCCAAACGCGAACCCTTTCACAATAATTTCCAAACCCTGTTCTTGAAACTTTGTAAGTATCAATTATATTAGGAATAATCACGAAGAAGAAGAAGAAGAAGAAGAAGAAGAAGAAGAAATAATCCATTACTTACAGGAAAAAGGGAAAAAATAATCATCCAACTTAATAGGGAATGAAATTGAAGAAGCAGATGACAAAAGAAACAAATTTAACAATCATGAGAGACAAATATACAATTGAAAAAACCAACAAAAATTCAAACATGTATTGGTTTGTATGCATTAATTGAATACCTTACTGGGAAGGTGAATTGGGGTCACTGACCGTTGTGCTCAAGGCATAGCAGTGACTGTTATGTCTCAATTTGAGGTGTATTATAAGCTTATTTTTATGATCCGAACCATTGATTTTGTAGGATTTGTTGAGTACTTCATGCCTACCAAAAATCATATTAATCGGATATCAATAACTATATGATCGAATTGTATATTTTTTATGCTATTTTTCGAAAGAAAAACTTATTGTTTATTTTTTTGATTACCGATCATATAGTTGACGTCTGATTAATATGATTTTTGGTAGACATGAAGTACTCAACAAACCCTACAAAATGAACGGTTCGGATCATAAAATAAGCCCATAATACACCTCAACTTGAGGCACAACAGTGACCCACATTCCACGGGAAGGACCCTTTGTAGGAGCCCACGGGACATCAAACTCTTCGTTTTTGATTCCATTGAGGGAATACTTTTTTGTATACAAATATATATATATATATATATATCAGAATATGTATCTATAGAATTAGTCAATCCCGGTGGCAAATCGGATGGTTCGATCGAGAAAGAGAAAGAGAACAACGGTGATTTTTGGCGAGCTCGCCGACGAGAGGAGAGAGAAAATTGGCTAGAGAGAGAAGCGTACATGATGAAAAGAGTAACTTTTTAGAGAGAGAAAGAGAGAGAAAAACTTTTTTTCTTGGCTTTTGTGGGAAAAGAAAGAGGGCTCGAGGGAGCGAAAAATAAGGCTGGGATGCAATTTTTTATTTATTTATTTTTTTTTGGCTTTACCAAAACAACGTCGTTTTGGTAAGGCTTAATCTCAGCCGTTGGATAAATCACTCTAGGAGATCACTTCAGAGTTTTCACTCTAGAGGATCCTAACGCACCAAAGTTTTTCCTGCAGTTGGCCTACTTGTTTATCTTTAATACAAATTTTATAATATGATGAATTTCATTCGGGTAAATTATACAAATAGTCTTTGAATTTGAGTAAAATTTCACTTTAGTCCATATAGTTTTAATTTTATTAATTTAAACCTCACACTTTTGATTTCATTTCAATGTGATCCCTCTAACATTTTAGACAGAAAGACAACACGTGCAAAACTAGAGGGACTACGGTGAAATTCAAAAGAAATTATAAAG